TTTTTTTTTTTTTTTTGACTGAAACTTGTTTCACTTGTATTTTTTATATTGTACATCTGCAACAAAAAGCCCCAGATAGTAGCCAACTTGTGTGGACACTCTTCCAATTTGCGCAGTTGCTACACTACATTTCAAACTGTTATGAAATCTGGCCAACCAGTCGTCAGGTCTGTGCATTTTCACTAGCAAGTGAGCAGCGATGAGCAACAGCCAACGAAATTGCAAGAGGAGGGCTAGACAGTGGGAAGCAGGAGCCAAAAACAAAACATCAAACTGCTGCCCACATCTCCCCTAACACTGTCTCATCTTATTGGTATTCGGCTCATTTTCTTCTTTTTCTCCCTTCATGTTGTTTGTTGACATGTTGTCAAGAATTGTAGTGTTGCTATGTGCCTGAGTTTGTGTGTAAACAAATCTCAGGATCATAGCATTAGACTGGGAGACTGATCTTGTAATTTGATGCACGTTCTCTGTTGTTTGTCGAGTAAAGTTTGCACCAGCACGAAATAAAACGAGAAACTGTGTGCAGGTCATTCTGTTTTGTAGTGTACTTGGCCCTACTAATTCCAGTACTTGTTAAAATATATCCAGATGCATTGCTGTAATGAAAATTGATGGGGAATTTTCTGTGTGCTATTTATTTTATTTATTTTAATATGTATATCAGCCATGAATGATGTAATTATGTTATCCATTTAATTATGTATTTGTTTGATTTTGGGGTATACAAAATTATCTGGTTATGTTTTCCCCCTGTAAATAAGCTGACTTGACTCTTTTGTGCTAAAATCAGTCATTGGGCTGTTTTCAGTCTGTGCAGCACCACTGTTGGTTGTGCGCACATTTGAGAACATAATTTCATATTAATATGCCCTTTTTTGTATTTGTATAATAATTGAGGAATGTAACATAAATGCACTGTGTACTCAATGAACTCAATGTATTCATTTAGCATTAGACCATATTGTGTCATACTCCTGACCTCTCAGTCTAACTGGATCCTTTAATTACAGCTTCTTTTTAGATGTAATACAAATGGCAATGACAAACATAGCTTTTGTATTGGGTATTCAAGACTGTTAATCACAACAGTGGATTAATGGAACAAATGATGGTGTGAATAGAGCCCATTTAAAACCGAGCTATGCAAAGCTTTATTGAATAATTCCATCAGTGTTGCTTTGTTCTGGTGAACGGCACACCATTCAATGAACACGATAGTGGGCAGCTTTCATCGTTGTAGGAGCAACTTTCTACTTAATGATAGGGCAGATCTTCGCATTTGTACAGAACTGAAGGTTTAAATATCACCTAGCTACCCTGATAATAGTGGTAACTCCCTGGAGCGAGAATGATAGTTGAAACAAGATGTTCTTATCAGAGGTTATCAAGCTGACTCAAGGGCTTTAGTTCTCAAAAGCCACATCCCTTATGTCAGATGTCAGTGTCAAGTCAGTACACCTCCAGTGCATTCTGGGAATGTCTAGGCAGCGAACGTTTCAGTGCACTGGAATGTTTTTGACACTGGGACCTCCCTAGAAATTGTTCCCAGGGCAACAACTACTGAACTAGAAAGTCGATTGAAATGCACCCCAAATTTCTAATTGCATATGATGAAAAATGTGCTATTTTAAGTACAGCTTCTGCCCACGCTTTGACTTCTTGATTAGCGTATCTAGCTGGGCACTGAGACAGACTCGCATCGACCTCGCATGGGTTTGGAGGCCTGCCCAGCCTTTCTTTTCCTCGTATAATGGCAACATGTGCCAAAAGGGAAGGTACACAACTTTATGCTACATTATTTATAATGACCCTCGTGCGTCTTAAATTAGACCCCTTGTTCCTCACACAAACAGGCCTTTGTTTGCTGCCCTGCAAATTATGACCGTGCCATTAACTGCCATTTAAAAGTCACCAGTTTCCAAAGTGAACTCACTTACTTGAATAACTTTCATTAAAAACGTAAAGTAGCACAAATGTGTGCAAACAGGATTGCGTGACAACCTAAACTAGCAAAGTAAATGAGATGGTTGTGCCATGGCTGTGTAGCCATGCCATTTGGCAAATTTTTAGCTTTAGGCAGCTGTTTATTCAATGGAAGTCGTTCATGTCATGCATAATTTATAAGAATAACACCCTTGGCATCAAAACCACCTCATAAGAACATGATGGAAATTAAAGTTTAGGAGTTATGACTAAGGAGGGTAGAAACTCTTGCCTGTTCTTTAGTAAGTTTGATGGACACATATTGCCTCAGGAAAGCTCCCGCTGGGCCGTCTGTGAGAATAATAAAGTTACTTTTGACGAGCTATAAAGTCGAATTGTGTCAGTTTAACCTGCTATATGCAGGCAGTGATGGATTATGTGCATATTTGTTTGTCTTAAGTTATTGTCTAGTAAGTAATGTCTTTTTTTTGTAAAGAATTCGATCGTGTTATTTTCTTTTGCTTTAGTATTCATCTCTGTCTGTTTGTGAATGCTGGGATATATCACCTCTTGCCGTTTGTTCTCAGCATTATAAGGTGAGACAGCTCGATGAATACTTATATCTTACTGTTTTCCCCAGGGTGTCCGCACTGCAAGAACGCCGTCCCTCATTTCACCACAGCAGCTGAGCTGTTCAAAGAGGACCGCAAGGTGAGGTTCAACACCATTAAGGAGTTTTCCAGCCACTCTAAATAACAAACCCTTTCAAATGAGTTCCAGGTTCTGTCAAGCGCAATCAAGTTCTCCCTCTCTCATTCAGACAGCCTTCACACATCCTAGAATTTAATCTCCAGAACATTCTCAAGGTCTTCACAGTCACTGTGCTGTCTGATGCTGTTGACCTTCAATCTACTACCTCACATGTTATCTGTGTTGTATTTCTCTGTTGATTTCTATATTATAGTGTGAGGCAGACTATGCTGCCTTAGCCATGTTTTGTCAGTTTAAGTCAAGCACTCACTACAAGACCTCTTCGTCCTTTTAAAGACTTCTTTAGTATTCAGTCTTAGTATATTAGTTATTTATTATATGGCTGCATTAAACTGGCACAAAAAAATCAGATTTTTTTGCTCACATCTGACACTGATAGTAATTTGTTGCACCTGTGTAAACACAAAAATCTGCATGAGATCCGATTTTTTTCGCATCCGATCTGAGCCACTTCCAAATGTGGTTATAAATCAGATACATATCTGATATCTGGACATCCAACCTACATCTAAACACACACATCCAATTCCCCGCAGAACTCCCAATGCGAGGGCGACACGTTTGCCAATAAAGACTGTGTTTTAATGCCGGTGTGCTGTATGCGCTTGCATTTTATTGAGATGGAAACTTTATATAGGTAAGAAATTGTACGTTCAGGAGCTGGTTTTCAACCTCTGCCCCATGAAATGTATAAATACAACAGCTAAAAGCTACTTTATATTTCCCAGTAATGAGGTGATTACAGTTTTTGCAATTAAACCAACAAGCTTCACACTCGCTCGCGCGTTCTCTCTCGCTCTCGTTCATTTGAATTAATTTCAATAAATATCATCTTGGCCCTACTTTATTTCACTAAAGAATTCTACCTCTAACAAGCTGTAGATAAAATAGCCTAATGAATGAAAATTGACGTTATTTTCTGTTATTTATCCGTTCAGTCAGATTTTGTGCTGCAAAACATCCATGACAGCCTTTGTCCATGCTGGCAAATAATAATGGCCACTCGACATGAATTATATAAATATTTTTAATAGCACGGCCATTCAAAACCCGAGGGTATACCATGTGCATAGTAACGTGATAACCGCAGACAATCCTTTGGGGCGGGAATTAATTTAAACCGTCGTGTCTAAAGTGAATGTAAATAGACGGGCCAAAAAATCGGATATGGTCAAAAGATCGGATCTGTGCATTAAGACTTGCCGTGTAAATGCAGCCTATGTAGTTATGTAAGTAGTTAATGCAATAGATATCATGAAATAAATGTTAACCAATCAACCATGGTTTTTTTAACAAAAAGAGAATTTTGAAAACATTTCTTAACTCTATTCCATACAACATGAGATCATCAAGGGCGGGACAAATCATTATGCAGCTCTCAGATATGTCTCATGACGTCAGTTATTCTGTCTACCTTCCCGGCCAATTTGCAGACGGGTTGTGCACATGATAATTACATTCATAGTGAAGTGGAGGCACTTCCTCCTTTTACATGATATTTTGGCTGTATTCCCCTCTTAAATGCACAGCGCGCTTAGAGTTGGCTATGATCTGTGTGGCATTTTGTTGCAGACTAGGTGAAGACTTAACACATGAAGAACCGACAAGCTTAAGTCTTGAAGTGTGCTTGGCTTAACTTTTAAATTCACACATTGCTTTCACTTTGACGAGTGCCGATGTTTCCACTTTTTTCCACTTCAGACACTTCTCTCTGAGTAACACTCCATCGCAGGCGTCTACACACTGACATTTCATCATTCTCTAAATCTTTCCTCTTTCTCCCGAAACGTCTTTGAAAGTAGCTGTCTCTATTTTTGGATCTTCAGAGGCCTGTAAAAACATTCCCTTTGGCTTCTTTAACAGCAGACATTTATCACTGGCCATAAGACAGTGATGTTGAATTGTTATTTGCAAATGTCTATAATTCATCAGGCATAACGTCAGTCCTCTTCAATTTCCCTATTGCTCTTAAGTTTAGACTTGCGCATAATCGTTATTCAGATGAACGGCATTTGGAAATTCACTTTGCCAAGATTCAAATGGAGCCAGTTTTGTTTTCTTCGATTTTGTGCTAACACCCAGATCTGGCGACTGCATTACAGTTGCATATCACTTTGCTCAAATGATTCCAGCTACTTCAAAAGTCCTACAACAGCAAATGAACCAAAACCCACAAATGACCAAGAAAACAATTATGACAAACAATAGGATAAAAATAACAAAGGTTTTCCATGTTTTTCCCCCAATAAATTACCTTTTTTTATCTATGGAAAGCACACTTTTTTTTCTCCTCTCTCTCTCTGCACGCACACACATACTTGCTCGGTTTCCATCCAAATTTGAGAATTTAACTTGTGCGCAAAATTGGAATATTGCATAAAACATAATAAAGCACCATTTCCATCCAACGAGTCAAAGAGAACAGATTTGTCACTTCCTGATAAACTGGCGCTAAATATCAGTAAGAAAAGTAGGAAAAGCCACTGAATATAATAATTTTCATATATAATAAATTACTTGCGGCTCAGAGCGAGCAGAGGAAACAATAAATGTGATCATTGCTTTCGGAGGTGGCTGCCTGCTGTGTGGGATCGCAGTCATCTGGGAGGCAATTATACAGAAATACTTTGATGACAGACTTTGCTCAGGCATTTCAGAATGACCATAACAAAATTTGAAATGCTGTGCAACGAGATGGTTAGTCAAGTAATGCAGTCCCATTGCACAAAGTCACATGACTTTTCATGCGCATGGAAGAATTTATTCAATAACTGTTTTTCCATCTCACATTATTCGCATGAACTCCTTTTCACACAAGACAAAAACCACCTGATTTGAGCATAAAAACGTTTTTGCGAATTAAGGGACTTTTTTTTCAAAATTTGTTTTCCCATCACTCGTTTTTGATGCGATGCTTCAAAATGCGCATAAAAACAGGGTGATGGAAACATAGCTGTACAAACACACACTCACACACAGACAGAAATATACATGCACAGATATTTGTTGTCAGCGGTGCCCAGCAATCGACTTTTTCAATAAAATAGTTTGCAACTGAAAAGATAAATAACATTAGAAGTGAGGTGATAATGTCACTGTTTTTAGAGCATTTCAACTTAGAATTTCTCTATTAGAATTTCGCTGCTGCTGAACACTGTTGAGAGCCGCACAGACTCAGGCATTTCACACAAGCTTAATATCTCTCTCTCTCTCTCTCTCTCTCTCATAACTGCATATCAGTGACTCAAACTTCTGTTGCTAGCTCTAAAATGACTTAGCAACATAAGCTTGAGATGAGATGATTAAGAAATTAGTTTTACACACAAGCGTTTAAAGCTGAACAATGTCTTGGGGTGTGGTAACCGTGGTATAAGCGAAACTGATTGACAATGGGCCGATCAATTATTGAAAAATAATGCATGGCTGCATTACTACCTCGGGGTGTGCATTATTTTTCAATAATTCAATGGCCCATTGTCAGTTATTCCTTAGTTCATTTCCTGATTTTGAAACCGCTCACTCATTCATTATTCACTACAGAATACTATACTTCACTATATAGAGAAAGGCTGAGGGAAAATTTGTTACATATGATATCAAGGACTTCCAAGAACACTTCCAGTCTCACCTCTCATACTGAAATGCATTTCCAATTTTTTTATTTATTTATGAACTTTTTATGATATATACAAAGATAAAGAAAACAGGAATAGACAGAAATGGAAATTGAACTTGAAAGGGGAATAGCGTTTTGATGTGCAAGAAAGGGCTGCCATATTTAAGTAAATCATGTGTAGGAAAATGTGGATGGGAAGTGTGGGAGGGCTTTTCCAGTGGAAGAGAATTAGTCATCTAGCCTTAATTCCAATAAAAATCGGTGCAATAATAGTAAAGAAAATGGCAGGGCAGGTCCTCAAAAAATGTGAAAAGCTCAATGAAAGCTCAAAAATTTCCCACTTATGGATGTAGTTTGGATTGGGTTCACTTTTCAGACTACAAAGAGTGGGGTATGCTGCTAAACAATCAGATTTTGCTTTTTTGAGATTTTTTTCCCCCCTGATATGCCCATTAATTTTTATTCATTGATGCATCAGAGTAATTCTAGTGCAGTTCAGCAAAAGGTCAGATGAATTTGTAATTACCCTGACACTTAAACAAGAAGGTTTGTTTAATTCTATCAAGGGTTTGTGTTTCTGGTTCCACTTAGAGTCCAATTATCTCCTGGTTCCACTGTTCATCCTCTGTTCTCATTAGTGCTTATTTCCTTTATGTACAGTGCATTAGTAAACATCTTGAATGGCCTTCCAGCAGCACAGGGCTTAGAACCTCATTCCTTCAATTCTTAATATAAAGCCTCCTGTTGTTTCTGCTTGACTATTAAACAATGTTTTTTTTTTGTTGTTTGTTTTTTTGTAGTGAAAGCCAACAGATGCAGTCCAATTAAATACAACATACTTCAATTGTGGAAAAAGGCTAATGGTGTAAAGCCTAGTCTTGGTTCAGATATTCTTTTGTTGACCTCTTTTAACTTAATACCACCAAATGCAAAGGAAATAACTTATCTTCTGTAATATTCATGAGCTCACTGGCCGTTTCAATTCCTGTGCGCAACGACCTGGGCTCTTTCTCTGTGAGGTTGATAATTACTGTCTGAGAAGGATCTCTGTGCCTTTATGAGCAACTTTTTTTTTTTAACCGCATCCATCTCATAAACCACCCTCTGTAAGCACAAAATCCAGAGTTTCCATGAGTCTTATGTTGCTTACATCCACTTATTGGTGAGGTTATAGCAAAATCAGTCAAGTGCCAAGAGGGTATTCCATCAATATCAGAATTGGCCGGCAACCAAATGAACAATCCCTTTCCTCTCCATTTTTTCCTGTCAATATAACGACCGAATAATCACAGCCACATTCACGTCAATCTCCAGTGAAACCCTGTAATCTTGGAGGATCATCTTTGATTGGTGCACCAAGATCCATAGCGTTGCATTTCATGTGAATTGTTTTTGTCTTAAGAGTGAGAATACTACATGCCAATTTCACTAGATGGATTCAGCTAAACTGATATGATTTGTATAGTTTCAAACATGGTTGCCATGAAGATAAATATTGAGTTATACAAATAGGGCTTTTTGTTTTCACCTTTTCAGTGATAAAATGTACTGAATACCAGTTGACCGCTAAAATACACCTTGACTATTAATTTTTTTTTTCATGCCGTTTGTCAAGAGACATTTATGGTTCATTCAATTGTGTTTCGCAAACTGCCGTCTTCAGATATCCTGAGCATAAATTTTTGCTCTTGTTTTAATGTTGGGGTTTTTGCTGTATTATTTTATCCTATGCTGCTTTGAATGGCCTTTCTTGACAGGAATGTAGTACTCATTTTTCATTACCCTAGAGAAAAACAGCAGACTAAATTCAGGATGTAGTGGTGCAGTGAGTGAAACTATTCAGTCAGTGCCAAAGCAGCTGTGCTGTTAGATTTCACAGTTATGTTTTCACACATTAAAATATCTACTCTAAAGGGCAAAGAAGTTCGATTTTAGGTGCTATTGGCTGTCAGCTTTGGGGTTTTTATATGTTGCTGTCATTCCTCCTTAATTGTTTTTGCATTTCAGAATAAGTTTTATATACAAGCCAATGGTCATCAAGAAGATTCAAATGTGCTGCCATGCAGCCTTATGGATTATTGAGCAGTGTTTTACATCTCTGTAAATTAGCCCAATAGAAACTCAAAAGCATTGTTCAATTCAGTCCACACACTATGCAATATGTATCAATCATTGGTTTGATTGAAAATGTGTTTCAGATATACAGCTTTCTCTAGAGAAAGTAAATCCTTCCAGGAGCTCGGCACAATGGGTCTCCAAGGGGCTCAGGAGCGTAAACCTGAAACCATGATCAGACAGCATAATTCCTCACCACACACATAAGTGTACTTTTGTTTCCAAAAAGTCCTGATAGATACAACCACAGCTTTGTATATATCACATTACCATAGCAATACTATTTGATACAACATACTTAGAGGAATCTATCTATAATCTATCTTTAATCTATAATCTATCAAGATGGCGCTGCGAATGGCAGCCACGGTGCTGAGCTCCGCAATTCTTCTGCTGTTTTTGTTTGTTTGTTCTGCGTTTAGTTATTCTTCTACAAGTTTTACCAGAGACAAACTCCTTAACATTAAGCAACACATCCCAGACAATATTTTTCCGGTTTTTGATTATTGAGACATTTTGTTGGACATTCTAGTCAGAGGTGCAGCGGTGCGGTTCAAACGCGCGCACAGAATGTCCGTTCCCTTCTTAACAAAACGGATTAACTACTTCTCCTCACCCACATCAACAAGGGCTCTTGTTTTTTCAAACTCTGCTGCGTTGTGCTTCTCTGAAACCTGGCTGAGTCAAGCCATTCCGGACAATGCGTTTCATCTGCCAGGCTTCCAGCTGTTCCATCGCGGAAACAGGGAAAACGAGAGGTGGTGGATTGTGTTTCTTCATTAACGAAAGTTGGTTTTCAGATGTAACGATGCTTAAAAAGATATGCTGTTCTAATTTAGAGACACTCTTCATAAACTGTAAACCTGGGAGTTGTCCTCTATTATTCTCGCGAATGTGTACGTTCCTCCAGACGCATGAGTGAGCGCAGCACTGCAACAGCTGGCTGAACAAATAACTGAAATGGAGCAAAGGTACCCAGACTCTCTTTTAATCATTCTTGGAGATTTTAACAAAGCAAATCTTTCCCGTTAACTGCCAAATGTCCCACCAGAGACAGTAATATATTGGATCACTGTTACACCACAATAAAGGATGCATCCACGGGCAGCTTTGGGGCTCTCTGATCACTGTCTATTTCATCTCATACCAACCTACAGGCAGAAACTGAAATACTCTGTTTTAATCATTCTCGGGGACTTTAATAAAACCAATCTCTCCCGTGAACTGCCAAAATACAAGCAGCACATTACGTGTCCCACCAGAGACAGCACTATTTTGGATCACTGTTACACAGCAATAAAGGATGCATATCACTCTGTCCCATGAGCAGCTTTGGAGCTCTCTGATCACTGTTTGGTTCATCTAATACCGACCTACAGGCAGAAACTGAAATCAGCTAAACCTGTATTAAGGACTGTTAAAAGATGGACTAATAAAGCAGAGCGGGATTTACAAGCCTGCATCGACTGCACTGATTGGAGTGTTTTTGAAGCTGCAGCCACTGATCTGGACAAGCTCACAGATACTGTAACTTCATATATCAGTTTCTGTGAGGATATGTGCATTCCTACCAGGACATTCCTATCATTCAATAATGATAAACCATGGTTTACTGGGAAACTCAAACAGCTTCGTCATGCCAAAGAAGACGCTTACAGCAGTGGGGATAAAATCTTGTATAACCAGGCCAGAAACAGACTAACAAAGGAGATCAAACTACTCCGAAAAGCTGAAAAACCTGTTCAGCCAACGACTCTGCATCAGTATGGACTGGTCTGAGGAACGTTAAGGTCTGTGTATAGGACGTGAACCGGGTCTTCAGAAAATAGAAGACTAAGAAGGCTTCAGGCCCAGACGGTGTTTCATCTGCCTGTTTAAAGGTCTGCGCTGACCAACTGACCCCCGTCTTTACACAGATCTTCAACAGATCACTGGAGCTGTGTGTAGTCCCCTCCTGCTTCAAACGCTCCACTATTCCGGTCCATAAAAAAACCCAAATCACTGGACTTAACGACTACAGCCCTGTCGCTCTCACGTCTGAAGTCGTTTGAGAGACTGCTGTTGACCTATCTAAAAGATTGGACCCTTTCTGGATCCTCTTCAGTTTGCGTACAGAGCAAACATGCAGTGAACATGGGACAGCATTATATTCTGCAACATCTTGATAGACCTGGGACTTATGCAAGGATCTAGTTTGTAGACTTCAGATCGGCCTTCAATACCATCATGCCTGACCTTCTTTCAGACAAACTGACCCAGCTCTTTCATTGACCCACCCCAATGTGTCAGCGGATCACCAGCTTCCTAATAGACAGGCAGCAGCTAGTGAGGCTGGGGAAACTCATATCCATGACTCTCACGATCAGCACTGGCGCCCCTCAGGGATGTGTGCTCTCCCCACTGCTCTTCTCCCTGAATACAACGAATGCACTGCAAAATATTCCTCTGTCAAGCTCCTGAAATTTGCAGATGACCCTACCATAATCTGCCTCATCCACAATGGAGATGAATCTGCTTACAGGCAGGAGGTTAAAGAGCTGGCTGTCTGGTGCAGTCTTAACAACCTGGAGCTGGACACACTCAAAACAGTGGAGATGATAGTGGACTTTAGGAGAAACCCCCCTGCACTCCCCCCACTCACCATCATGAACAGCAACTGTGGCAGCAGTAGAGTCATTCAGGTTCCTGGGCACCACCATCTCTCAGGACCTGAAGTGGGACACTCCATTGCTAAAAAGGCCCAGCAGAGGTTGTACTTCCTTCGCCAAACTGAGGAAATTCAACCTGCCACAGGAGCTGCTGAAACAGTTTTACTCAGCCGTCATTGAGTCCGTCCTGTGTTAATCCATAACTGTCTGGTGTGGTTCAGCTACCAAATCAGACATCAAGAAACTACAACGGACAGTCAGGACTGCTGAGAAGATAATTGATTCCCCCCTGCCCAACCTCCAAGATTTTACACCTCCAGAATGTGGAGAAGGGCTAAGAAAATCACATTGGACCCCACACACTTCATAAAAAAAATCACCAATTAAAACTTTCATAACTATACATTGTCCATTTATAACTGACACATTTATATATAGCATCTGAAAATTGTACATTTGTAAACTACATAAACTGTACACTTGTAAATAACATGTCTGTACATTCATTAAAACAATTGTTTTTTTCTCTAGATTTCTACTTCTGTATTATATTGCATTTAATTTTCTGGTTTTCTTATATTAGTGTTATATTTAATCTCTACTGTATAATTTACTATGTATGTCTGCACTATCATGTACGTTTGCACTGTGTCTGTATTTTCTTCTGCATTGGAAGCTCCTGTCACCAAGACAAATTCATTGTGCATGTAAACATGACAAAAAACTCTTTCTGACTTCTGAAGTAAGGATATTTAATCTATGACAGTTTCCTGTTAAAATAATTATGCATTACTTCATTTCAGATTGCATATGCTGCAGTGGACTGCACAAAGGGACAAAACCATGAGTTGTGTAAACAGGAGGGAGTTGAGGGCTACCCAACATTCAACTATTACAACTATGGGAAGTTCAGCGAGAAATACAACGGGGAAAGAGGGGTAAGTGTTCTTTCATGTGAGAGATTTGTATTTAGATACACACAAAAATGTATGAATGTTATTGCATATGACAGAACATAAAAGTTCTATCTAAGTTGTATAATTTTAGATAAAAGAAAGCACAAGCACACTTTTCAAGCAAAATATTTTATAGGTTTGAAATTATACTGTAAGGATTGGATCATGATTGAGATGATTCTGTTTAAACTGCAGACTTCTGCAGGCTCCATCTAAATTATAGATGTGTGTGTGTGTATTCTAACCTTTTAATTATTTTGTTAACCATTTTTATTTTATTTTATGGAAGCCCTAGGGAAGTGGTTCTCAACCAGGGGTCCAGGGCCCACTAGGGGGCTTCAGCAAACTTCCAAGGGGGCTGCAGGGTAGCTTAAAAGTATTTAAACTAATACATTTTTATTAATATATAAAACGTATTAAAATCATCTAACACTAATCTAAATTAAAACTCTATAAAATTACGTCAGAAAAAACAAAAATCTTAGCCTTTATTTGGGGGGCTTCAGATATTGTTTTGGACAGTGGGAGGTCTTCGAGCTAAAAAGATTGAGAACAACTGACTTACATCATCCTGTTGTATCATATCCTGAATCCGAAGTAATTTCACATGCATATCTAATGTGACTGCAGCTTTATTGGAACATGCCCATATTTAATGTGATGAACTACAGTACACCTAGGACAAGTATAAAAAAACAGCAGAGACAGAAAAGGTCTAGCATAATTTATTTGCAAATGCCACCTGCTTTATTTTGTCTTGGTTAATCTAATACAATGACATTCATACATTTGACATGTATTTCATGCATTTATATGCAAGTGTCCAAATGCTTTTTGGGGCCACCGTCGTGAATGTTTGTTTATATTATGAGGTAAACAGTTTTTCATTTCTCACTGTGTACACTGTCTACCCCCTACAGGAAGCTGGCTTCACTGGTTTCATGAGAAATCTCAGGGGCCGAGACCAAGAGAAAGTGGGCAAGCGGAAAGAGGAGCTCTAATAGTGTGGGTGTGGTTCCTATAAATGGGAGGAGTCTATCATTGCACTGTGACTTGGGCAGGGACATCCCAGCACTGATGCCACAGACTTGAAACCTCAGCTAAAAAGGCTATTTTTTTATACAGCTGTGCCCTTATGTTTGTAATACCAATGTACAACCATCAGACCACTTCAGACTTTTTTGTTTTGTTTGTCATTTTGTGACATTTTTTTCCAAATACTGTGACTTCATTTACTGAAATCAACACCTGAAATCTATGCAACACTGGGCCTTCACTCTCAAGGGTCCCATACGTTTGATGGGTGGCTGGTGTTTAATAGGGAAAACCAATTATCACCAGGATACATTGCCGTGACTCCCATTCCAGTGAGGAGTAATAATGTGTACAATCGTATCTGCAAATATTTTTGTAAAAAAAAAAAGGAAAAAAATGCTGTATGACATAATGGATTTGGGAGTAAAAAAAGATGGAGAAAGTTGTTGTAGCTGAACTTTGTGGCCTTAAATGTTTGAATAACTGTCATCCAAATATTTTACTATTTTCAAGAAATACACTACTACGGCCAAAATACAAGAGCAAATACAAGAACTTGTATTCAAGCAAGTAGTTTTTCTCCTTATGTTTTATTGTCAGTTGTGACAGAATAAAATGACGTAACAAAACTGGAAATGCCAAAAAAGAAAAGGAAAAAAAATGTAGATTGAAACATTGTTTCCGAATTAATTCTGAAAGTTTAATCCATGAAAATTTCTGGGCCCTTTACATTCCATTGTAAATGAATGTTTCTGCTTATTTTAAAAGTCTTGTCTGGTTTAAAAGTCTAGTCTGGTTATGTGGTTTCTGATTCACATTGCTATTCTAGATCTATAATTGACATTTGAAAATTTCATTGAAATTGACATTTCCTCTTCTAAGCATGGGAATGGTACAGTAGGTGATGATGGGAACCACAGATAATGTTTTCATTTATGCGGGAGCGAGATGGTTTGCTTTAAGGCATGTTGAGTGATGCTCATTTAACATGTCTCACTGGTTTAAACTCTCTGCCAAATGTTAGCACACTTATCTTGATACCACAACCCTTACCAGTATCTCTGTGGCGACTCCACTATTATGTGTGTGGAAAACTCCCTGCTCTAGGCAGTATACATATTTAATGGTCTTGTAGCTGAACTTTTGTTGTATAATTCAGAGGGTTGGTTCGTTTCATTATGAATAAGGTTCTCAGGGATAGTGAAACACAATTGAAGAGCACTATCGCTCATCGTAATTTGCAATCCAGTTGGGTGTTCTCTATTCACGTCGCCAAATTATGAATTGTTTACATGTGTCTTTGGGAGATGGAACACGAAAAAAATAATAATTGAGCAGGAATTTAGTTTACATTTCCTTACCAAATGTGTGGCAAGAAGTACTGAATAAAACATGAGCCAAGGAACGCTGATGCATAGATGTCAATTATATGCAAGATAATAGCTTTCAAGTTCAAAATACTGTCTGTAAGGTTAAAGCGGGAACACATGCTGAATTTGTATCATGTAGCTGGACGTAAAAAGGTCGTGTTGAGGGGAAGAGTACAGATAGCTTGCCAGAACATGTTCAATAATGTGGGTGAATGCTTGCACAGGTTTGTCTCACTACGTGCAACCGCTGTCAAGACATGGTTCGTTTGTGCATTGGCATTTATATCAATATTCGGATGGTCAGGGGTCTTCATCTGGTTCCTTTCAGTTATTCTCTTGTTGAAAGGTCTGCTTTGTCTTATCCCAAAGGTATGTGGGAGCTACCACAATGCCAAGAAGTCACTGTCGCCTTTATTTTTTTGTGCCCAGCCATATGTACAGTTTTGCTGCATTGATGAACACAATGCAAAATAAAAGGCATACATTTCCAAGAACCATTGTCAAAATTATTCAAATAACATTGTGAACATTACTTCTTATTTGGTAATGAATACTACTTTTAAAGTGCAAAAATTTTAGATTTTTTTTATTTTTCAAGATGAAATACAAACAGGGTTGTAATGGAGTGTTTCACTATATTTTTTCCCAGGGTGATGGTAAAAAAAATAGACCTAAATTGAAGATATATCAGAATATTTTATCATAGAGATCTTATAATATCTTATAATTGAGACTTAGGTAGGCTCTTTTGACTTGTGCTAGTAGGCAACCGCACAACAACATGCTAAAAAAATAACCAGAAAATATTAATAGCCACGTTGCAACGCTTTGGCACCATACCAATTTTTTTCCATGTTTTGCACAGACGAGCACAAAGAAAATAAAAATGCACTATTTGTAAGAAACATTTGTGAACTTTTGCTGTTGTTCTCAAACACCAAAGGCCAAATGCAGGCTAGTTTGCTGACTTTGTCTACCTGGCAGACACCTCATTTGTTTTCTGTTTGAAAGCTAGTGTCTGCAATAAAGCCACACATACTTGATGTAAACTTTTTTTTTTTACTTCCCTGAAATTAGGATAACAATACAATCACACATGCTTAATAGATAACAGCTTTTATCATACTATATGAAAATGGCCAATTTGTCAGTTTAATGAAGCCAAGAGTGACCACATCTGACCACAAGCCTGTTATTTTGGAGTTGTTCCTTTTTGTTTGTCTTTTTGTAGAGACGATCATGGTAAATATGGGAAGATATGTCACTACTTTTGAAATGAAGGAGAAAATTAGTCTTCCCCTGCTGTCACTTAGCACCTATGCTGTCATGGTGGTTACAACAGAGTACTACAACATAAATTGCCTGATGAAACTGAGAAAACAAGTACTGCTGTGCTGTTCCTGAGTAATTTCTTATCAAACTTTTCTGTCAGGTGTTTTTGTTTGCGAAAGTCTTCCTGGACTAATTCTGTCATGACCTCAAACGAGCCGAGCCCTTTGCCATCAAACTGCACAAGAACCCTTGTAAGAGGCATGAGCTGTTTTCCAGATTAGAAACTCAAGGGATGAGTCACTGTTGGACATTTAAATGGCTGCCCATGGAGAAACACCTGCTGGTGAAATGCATGTTGTCAAGTGCAATATGTGACTGTTTAATGGTTTGGAGAGAAGGATGGCTCCATCAAAATTACATGGAGGAAGCTTACTGAGGGAGCAGGCAACTACATTTGCCTGGATGCACCCCTACATGTCAGAACCAGGGGTGAAAGGAGGACAAGAACATGCCAGCATGAATGGAAGTTAAGAAATAGAAGATAAATACACATTATGCTGTGTAAAGCATACAGAGTACATATACTTTCTCTGTATAATTTGGTGATGCCATAAGTTAATAAAGTGTATCCCATCTCACTGACCTTAAAAATCCAGGATATGGCCAGCTGTCATAATCCAGACATGGCCCTTTCAAACACCTTTCTTTATCACCAGGAAATTGTTTGCCAGTCCATACTGAATGCATAATAATTTCTATCTGTCAAACATAAGCACATAGCAACAACGCTGGCATTCAGGAAGAGAAGAACCAGTTCAAAATCCACCTGAAAACCTGAATAAACTGATAATAAAAATACAATGCATTGATTACGCAATTTTAATCATTAAATTAGTATTATTATATTACATTTAATTTATTATGATAACTATACATGTGTTACTGAGGCCGTCTTGGATTAACAGTGGCAGATCACGCCAGATTCAAGAAACAAATGAATGTGTGGAACCAAGCAATTATTATTCAGAATTGCTTGGTTCCATTCGAGCAAAGTAAGTTAACTGTTGTTGTTTGTTTTCTTCATAATACAGATTAATTTACATTTTACTTACAATAATATTGCGACTACTTTGTTAATGTTCGCTCCGCCAACGAAAATCCAAACGAAGATCCAGCGAATCGACCGCTCACGTTACGTCTCGTCTCGCGCGTATTTCCCGATATTTGCTTCCTAAAAGAATCGTGTTTGAAAGAATCGGTTGAGTGAATGATTCAAAGCTCACTCATAAATAACATTGAATGATTAAACGAATCGATTCAATGAATGACTCACTCATAAACACAGTCACTTGTCGGCACCTACTGGCGTAACTATGAAACCTGCGGAGAGAGTTGCTGAAAAATCGCCATTACTAACACAGACACAATGTTTGGACGGCAAATTACAAACAAGTGGAATGATAGAATGAAAAGTCCCAGAGCTGTTCATCGATAGATGTACATTCATATCCTACCCATAATTCAATTTTTATGACTGTGAATCTAAAGCCTGATATATTATTTTGTTAATATTCGACAGTGCAAATTGTCTTCACATTTCCCTGTTGTAAGACATATTGTTTCACATTATTGAAATTATCAGTAACAGTCCTTTCAGCTTGTGGCGAGAAAATGAATAGCCCATGCAAATATTCAATAATACGAGTCACTGGGACAAATCTCTCAGTAACAGAAGTCAATGGCATAAATACACCCCCATTATCTTTACTGGAGCAATAAAGATTGTCCTTACCCTCGCTCTGAAAGCAATAATCAAAATGATGTGCACCACTTGCCAAGAAATCCATACAAACTCATTCTCCCCTTGTTTCACAGATGTGGCAGTAAAAGTAAACAAATAAATAAATAAATAAAAATAAAAAGCATAGGCTATATTTTCTCAGCAGCAACAGCAGCAGAATAAGAAAATGACATTTTTGCGCTTTAATTGGGTTTTATGAAAAAAGACACATAAGGCTGTGAGTTTAGCATTGCTCGAAATCCATAATAATTCTGCTGTTGTTTTTAATTATCCATAAAATTGATATTACTACCGCATCAGGTTAATCTTTTACTCTTCCATATGTTGCTGCAGTATTTTCAGCCTACTCTACCACTCCACATCCTGTCAATATGAATGACAACATCTTCACTTGTCACCCTGACACTCCTGCACTAAATACAGCTTTAGACTGCCAGCTATTCATCACGCTGTCCATGTAGAGAGAATCAATCTTCAATGCATGGCTCACACTGCATGCTGTGAAGTGGATGTTTCCAGGAGGTCACTTTAAGCTGAAGAGCTCTCGGTTTCATCCTTGTAAAGACATTGAATCCAGAAGAGTGAATTATGAATTTGAACGATTCACATCAAAGATCATGGGTTTGACAGAAAAAACTACAAAAAAGTCTGATTTTGTGCTTAATGAGCTTTAAAAAACAAGGATGTTTAAACTCAAAGCAGAGGCTGAAAAACTGAGATGTGCATATGATATGTATGTGGCAGTCACATAACATGAAATATTACAGGATAAGATGCCCCCATGACTGCATGATCAATTCAATTTTTTTTTTTTTTTTGATGGTGTGTCTGAGTCATCTAAACATCAACATTTGTGATGTGATTTATTCCATCTGACTGTATTCATCTATTTTTTGTCACTGAATGAAATTGATTAGCCTACGTATTTATATTACATTTGTATTATTATTGTTTTATTTTAAAATGGAAACGTAAAGTTAAACACTTCGAGTAAGATGACTCCCTCACAAATAG